GTATATCCTATTTTAAACCCACAGCCTAACAGTTTTCTGTCCATCTTTCTTGTACACTTTATTTTCATTTTTCTTTTACACTTGCCATCTCTCCCTTATTTCTTCTTCTGTAATTGGTCATTTTCAATCTATCTCTGTGGTTTTCATCTGGAGACTTTGATATTTACTTTTGTGGGAGGGACTAATAATTAATATGGCTAACACATTTTAAAGCGCAAAATCAAATCCTGACTCCCAGGAGTTCTGTAGAAGGGAAAATGGGAACATTTTTAGCATGATACAGACAAAGGGTCTAGTAATTAGTTTTCTATACATTTTATTTGTTTTGTTCTTGGCGACCAATGGAAATAACTGGGCTAGCCTGGAAACAGAGTCCATAACTCTCACAAAATACCTCAACTCCCCTTTTGGGCTGCAACAGGAAATATTTTTACACAGTAAACAGTAAACATGTGGAAACTTTTAGCCCCAAGATGTCATGCAGGCTGAAAACATAAATAGCTTCAAGAAGGCCTAGATACTATTCATGGATAAAAAGAACACTCAATAACTTTGGCAAAAACTAAGTTTGACCGTTCAAGTGTTGATGAGGATTTGGAGCAAAGGAAATTCCACACACTGGTGGTGAGGGGGGTAGTTTTGTTCAACAACTTTCAAATACAAGTTGACATTATATTGTAAAGCTAAACAGCACACACTCTGTAAACCAGGAGTTCTACCCCTACTGTATACCCTAGAGAAATCCCCATAGAGAGGCTGCAGAAGGCATATACAAGAATGTTCAGAGAGGCAATGTTCAAGTAGAAAAAAATCTGAAAACAACCTAGATATCCACCAATAGGAAAAGACATCTACGACATAAATTGTATATTCACAAAATAAAAACAGCATTGAATATGAATGAACTTCTCTATATGCAGAATGTGGATTTGTTTTGGAAACACTGTTGAGTGAAAAAAGCAACTTACAGAAAAATTATATATGGTATGACACCATTTTTATACAACTCAAGAGCAAAACTAAAAAAAAATGTTCTTTTAGGGATCCATACATATGTGATAGAACTAATTTAAAAAGCAGTGACTGGACGCAGTGGCTCATGCCTGCAATCCCAGCTACTCAGGAGACTGAGGCCTGAAGATCACTTAAGCCCAGTTACAGTGAGCTATGATGGCATCACTGCACTCCAACCTGAGGGTGACAGCAAGACCCTGCCTCTAAAAAATTGAAATAAAATGAAAAGCAAAGGAATGATTAATGCAAAATTCAGAATTGTGTTTTTTTTCTGGGGGCAGGTCAGCAAGGGAATGGGACTCGGGGCGAAAAACAGATAGCTCCTATAGTCTTGGTAATGCTTTAATTCTTAAATTGAGTGGGGTTCACTAGTGTTTATTTTATACTTCATAAGTTACTTGTACATGACATATATCCATTTGACACCTAATAATATTTGCATGAAAAATGAAAATATTTACTTCCCTAATGTTCTAAATAGTCTTGGAAAACAACTCTTATACTTTTCCAAAAATTTTATTTGGTAACAATAATCAAATAAAACTTTGAGCAAGGTGGACAACTGGTCTGATTTAGGACATTGTTATATAGGGGAAAAAATTTTTTTTTCAAATCCCAAAGTCATAAATGCTTATTATAGAAAATTTGAAAAAGCAGAAAAATATAAAGAAGAAAATGTTTTAGATTGTGCAAATCCATAGTTACACAATCTAGATATAACCACTGTTAACGTTTTGTGGGATTTCTTTCAGGTTTTTTTAAATATGTAAAGTTGAAATCAATATAACATTTTAAAATGCATTTTCCTATTTAGATTTGGGATCTTGTTCCCATAAAGGTAGGAATGATGCTATGTATTTGGGATGTATTCAGAGTAATCTTCGGTTCTAAGTTGTATTGAATATGTTTTGTACACAAATAATAACTTAAATTTTAGCATTTCCCTCACTGGGAAATTTAAGGAATTAGAGGAGAACAGTCATACTTAAGATTGCCAAATCTTTTCCATTGTGATTTCTGGCATCTAAGTCATTTATTAAAATGTGTGTGATGAACTGGAAGGAGTTTTCCTTTCGATGATTTGCTCTCTTAAACTCTGATCTCAACACAAGAATGCATTTTTCTGAAAGGGTTTTAAAAGGGTTTTATTTCATTCCTGAACTTTTGAAAGCATAGGAGAATATCTGTTTTCTTTTGCTAATTTGTAATTTTAAAGGCATTTTCCCCATTTCTGACCACATATACAAAAGATTAATAGCATTAGGTTTAAATTAATCATTCTAATATCTACTTCTAAAAGCTTATTCCTTTAAAATGACTTCAACCTACCATCTACTTAAATGTTAAGATGATATACAGCATTAGAGCAGATATAAGGCATAAGAATATTTAGAATTGATTTTAATGGTTAAATTGCAAATCTTTTCAAGAGCTGAAATACCTTTTGTGTCTCTCCCATGCTAGGTTTCTAAAATGCAGTTCTGGTCCAAGAGGTCTATGGTGGGCTTAGATGTTTCCATAGGTAATTCTGAAGCCCATCCCAGCTTGAGAAGCACTGCTGTTAGCTTAAGGATACCAACCGCCAAGTTTATACTTAAAAGAACAATTCTCTCTCTCTCTCTCTCTCTCTCTCTCTCTCCAGCTCTTGTGCTAGCCTGGAGAGGCAGATGAATAGTTGACTTCTGTTTTTCAATTTCTGGGGGAGGCCTTGACAGTTTTGGCGATGCCCTCTCCTACCCTCTTCAGAGTAACTGAATAAGTGACGAAGGGGAAGACCCCATCCCCTTCCAAAGACCTACCACTTCTTTTGCGGAAGTGGCCACACATCATTTTTCTCACTTAGGAAAATACAAAATGTTTCAAGAGCCCATTGCTTCCAGGAAGTTCACAGTGAACATAAAAGAAATATAGACTAAAGAAAAATCCACTGGCTTGTTTCCCTTTTGGCCAACTCACCACAGGACTCTGGGTTAATCTGGAGAATCTGCCATTGATAATCTTTTTCTCTTGGTTTGATATTAGTGCTATTACAGAGAGGTCAGAATGGCTGGGAGAGGGAGGATAAGATGGCAAATGTGAGCCCAAAGCAATTTTTTGGTTACTACAAAGGTAACCAAAGATTCCCAGTTGATAGCGCTTTTTGTGAGCTAGTTTATATAGGTAGATACTTTTAAAATAAATGATTACAGGATCAGGGGACAAAAGTAGAGCCATTGGGTTGACACAACTGTCTACGCCAGGCATTGGAATTAATTTAGAAAAAAGCCAGCAGCTTGCATTTCACATCTTGAAAACGCTTATGCAATGTCTTCCCCCAACCACAAAGGAAAAATATAACCACAGGACAAATTACTCTTTGAATGTTTGATGAGATATGAGTAGCCACAACAATAACACTTGTGCTAAGATTAACGTTTGAGTAGCTTTAAAGTATTTTTAGTTCTTTTAATCTGAAATGGTTTAGACTATCTTCAGAGAAACTTCTCAACTGTTTTCTTACTGGAAATAGTTGAAAAGCTTTATAAGGCCAAGGTTACCCGGCCAGTTTGATTTATATCTTCTTTGAGAGAGACAGAGTGAGAGAAGAAACGAAGTAACAGCAAACATTTGTCAAGCAAAGGGCTGAGAGCTTTGCAGAGAAATAACAGATACATCTGACTATAGAGATTGCCCACCTTCATTTCTAGAAATCAGGTTTGCTTGGTGTACCTTGGAGAAGTAGGTGCTTTCAAATGGTCCTCCCACAAGTCTTAGCAGCTAACCAAGGCCAATGGTTCTCAGTCAACTAACTCAAGGAGTTCTTTAAAGTTAACCAGGACGTCTCCACAAAATCTCATACAAAGTCCTGTAACAAGAAGCCACAGAAATCTAATAAAATAAAATGCACTAAATTAAATGTAAGACCAATAGCAGCCCTTGAGTTTTATAACAGGAATTAAATAACCAAAAAAGAGGGGAAAGTATATGCAGAACAGTCAGTTTAGAAATTAATATTTCTGAAGGACTGAGGAGTCTACAAAGACAAAGCCAAAATTTTCATGGAAGAGCCGGCACAACTATGTTACATAAAATCAGCTGGAACCTTTCTAAGGCAAGAAGTAAAATCAGAGGCAGCAGTCTCCCAGCCCTTGTTTTCTTTCAAGCAAAGCAAGCAGTGATAGGTTGTTCCCGTGGGCAACTTTGGCTAGAATTAGTGTCCTCCTAGGAGAGTCCATGCCTATTCAAAATGGCAATGAGCTCCTGCTTGCGTTATGACTACTGCCCTCCTGATTTTTCCTACCAGACTAATGACACACTGCCCCACTGAGAAGGGTCTAGCGGAGCACAGGTCACCAGCTGGGTAACATTCAGAAAGTTAGTCTTCCTATGCTCATTTTCCTGGGCTGTTACAGAAGAAGACTGGAAGAGGTAATTTCCAAGGTTCTTCCCAGCTCTGAAGTTGTGTGTCAAAGGTAGGGGCAATGGATGCACACAGAAGAGGAAGTGTTTCTGACCTGGTATGACCCTCTCTTGCCCAGCATCGTGACAGGAATCAGTGCTATGATTTTTAGGTGGGAAAGCACAGAATCCCCTAAAAACATGGGATTTCATGGTGGCTTGGCAAGTGACTTGAGCCAGATTCTCACAGTAGAATGACTTCCCGTTGTGCCTGAAAGCCCCTTCAAAGTGACCCAAAGGAGAGGTAAAGACATTTATATAGGAAGTAGAAGATGCAAGTCACAGTGGAGAAGGTTATAACAGCATTGGGTACATTCTGCCAGCGCATCAGTGAAGTGTGGCTCCTCCCAGGCACAAACCACATCACACCCTACTCAGGATTGTGCTGGATGATTTTGCAATTGTTTGTTAAAACAACAAACCAACGTGATTCCCACACTTGCCCTTGTCTTTTACTGTTAGCGACAGTCTAGTCCTGACAGGTGTGCCAAACCCACGGCCAAGGATATCTTGAAGACTCCAACTTTCTATACCTTCGTGCATCTTAAATTAGGAGGAGGAGGTGGATGGGGTTACATCTGCCAATTTTTAAAATTTTTAAGTTTTCGGTCCCAATTCAGAGACTTTGTAGGTATGGAGATAATCCAGCAGGAAGTCATGTTGCTTCAAATTTGCTAGAGTAATGGTTGGCTTTAAAGTAAGGAGAATACAAGAGATCGTGAAGCTTGTGATGGGCCCATTTTCCTGACTTTACAGTAAATTTTAGTACAATCACAGGGAAGTCTGAAATTTTAAAAGAAAGCTGACTGGATCCTCCTCAGTTGGATTTTGGCTGCATCTTGCAAGTCCTCCCCTCGGGGAGCACACAGTGAGGCAGGTTCTTTGCCGTAAATTGTGGAATAGCGGCCTGGCGACTGCAGGCCGGGGACTCACTAAAGCATACTTAGAAAGAGCGGGGACAGAGAGTTGAAGGAGGAGGTTGCAGAGCGGCAGAGTGGCACGTGCAAGCCCACAGGTGAAAATTTCTCCCGTGACTCAATCCCCCGCCTTAATTCACTTCTCTGCGGACCTATCTCCATCTCTGTAAGATGGAAAGACATTAAAAGCACCGCCTCCACCTCCCCAACTTTGAGAAGTAACTTGTCTTGCGGGGAACTTTTCTGGAGGAAGGGTGGGGTGTGCAGCCCTGCCTGGAGAGGGCCCCAAAGCGCCAACCCACTGCAGAGACAGAAGGCCGCGTACCACTGAGGCCGGCTAGCGGCGGACTCGGGTGAACCCACCCTCGCGATCTGTCAAATCTGTCCCCAGGGGAGGTCCCCCTTTCGGGAGGAAGCTTTTAAGGGGATTATCAAAATCACCCTCGCGCTTCCTTCACTCACTCCTTGGAGCCGGAGGGCGGTGAGGACCCGCGGAGTCATCTATCTTGCCCCCGTCGCAGGCAGGGCGTTGCTGCAAGGGGTCCCCCGGGGCGCGGGAGGCGCCGGACACCAGGCTCTGCGGTCAGCCCGCAACGGCGCTCGGTCCGAGGAGGGAGGCCCGGGTCGGGGGCAGCCGTAAGACCCCGCTCAGCCTGCTGCCGCCGGGGACTTGCGAGGCCGTGGCACCGCGGGAGGGGGCGGCCAGGGGCTGGGGCTGCCCGGCGGCGCCGCGACCGCCTTCCTTTGCTGCGTCCCGCCGGCCCCCAGCCTCGCTCACCGCTGCCGCTTCTCCCCGCCCAGCAGCGCGCAAGGACCATGTCGGCGGAGACCGCAACCGGCCCCACGGAGGACCAGGTGGAGATCCTGGAGTACAACTTCAACAAGGTCGACAAGCACCCGGATTCCACCACGCTGTGCCTCATCGCGGCCGAGGCCGGCCTTTCCGAGGAGGAGACCCAGGTGCGTCCCCACACGCGCCCAGCGCGCCCCGACCCCTGCCCGAGCTGAGCCGTCTCGCGGCTGGGCTGTCCTGGTCGTCCGTGCCTCCCGCCGGGCTGCCCTCCCCACGATCTCCCATCGCTTCTGCCCGCATCCGGGGGCCCAGACCCTGCATGGCTCCCGCCGCCGCCTCCCCACTTCCCCGTTCCCATGGGCGCCCAGTCTCCCCGCCACCCCCATCCAGCCGTGGTTCCCCGGGAGCTGCGTAGAAACCCCGTGGTCACCAGTCCTTGCCTTTCCACTCTCCCCGGCAGCCCGGGATACACGCTTTCTCCCTCTGCGAGTTGGGAGCAGCGTCTCTCGCCTGTCCCTGTTTCGCCTTCCCGGCTCTGTCCCCTCTGGTCTGTCTGCGAAACCTTCGGGAAGATCTATTCTAGGCGGGAATGTCAGAGCTGGAAGGCTCCCCAGAGACCAGCTAGCCATAAATTCCGTCCTCCGTTTGGCGAACCAGGAGGCTGAGGCCGGGAGGGAGGGCGCTGTCAGGATGGCAGGAGCCGTGAAGCTTGCTCTCTCCACCACATCACACTGCAGCGTCCCCCGGGCTGCAGAACTCACACTGCACGAAGCCAGGGAGATGTGTTTTTTTAAAAAAAATTCCACAGCTCTAAGGTTTAGAGGATTTTCGGGGCGTTTTATAAGACGGTAGATAGCTGACCTTTCAGCTGAGAGGAGCGGCAGCCAATGTCCCCCTAAGTGCATTCATTGACTTATCTATTTTTTAAATGCTCCTATATCATCCTGAAAAATGCCAGGTAAAGAATGTAACACTACCTGTGGTTGTTCACCACAGGTGTAATGTTGGAGCCTTTAGCTGACTTTTAAAATCCTGTCTAAACTCCGACTTCTCTTTTCCCTTTGGTCACGGAAAGACAATCCTTTAAGCATGATAGACTACTTGGAACTGATCTAGCATCTCTCCTGTGGGTCCCCAAAGCACTTCACACTTCTAACCTCAACTCTAAAGCAGAGACGTTCTTATTTTTCCTATTTTATATACCAGAGCATCAGGCACTTGTCCTGTCACCATGAGCCATGCTCAGTTGAGGTTTAGAAGCTTGTAATGGATCCAGTAGAACCTAGGACCAAGACCCTGGACCTCAAGTCCAAAATTATTTTTACTAATTAAGCCAGAGGCACTCTTTGGAGAGCTTGTCCATAGACGATCCTGTCATTTACAGGTCAAATAGAAAGGCAAACATATTTATTTTTAGCAAATGGAACAGCTGTCTGACCAACGAAAACCAGAACTTAATGGAAGGTGATTTACTGTAACCCAAGTCTAACAGCTCATGTTTCTTGGTATCTCCTGAGAAGGCAGCCTGCTGAAATTTTATCATTTGAAATCCCACGCTATGCTTAGAAAAGAGAAGTGATCATGGAGACAACTTATCTTTTAAAAACAAGGCTGTGAAATATTGTGGGCACAGCACCAACAAGAGGTCCAACCCCTTCTCGGCCTCTGATTGTGCCTGGCGAGTTGCCATCAGTCACCTTACCTATAAAGCAGCATAAAATTACATTGACCTTTGTAATGGCTAATACTTGCCAGGCATTTTTCCAGGCACTGTCCAAGTAGTAAATCATTTATTTGTCACAACAATACTGTGAGGGTAGATACTATTAGCCCACTTGTCCAGATAAGGCAACTGAGGCACAGAAAGATTAAATATACTTGCCCAAGACAGCAGCTAGAAGGCAGCAGGACCAGGATTTGAACCCTGGAAGCCCAGACTCTTAACTACCATGCTATGCTGTCTCCACAGAGGAGGCATGGAAATCACTAGACGAGCAGGAAGAAAGAACTGAACTGACAACTCACTTGGTGTTATCTTTCCCCTGCATTAGGCAACCGTCCTCCCAGGCTATATTCAACCTTTCCTCAAGATTCACATGATATTAGAAAATTGAAATAAAATCTGGTTAGGGGTAGGAAGAAGAAAAGGGCACCTGCTTTTTTTCTGTGACTGAGGTCAGCCAATTCAGACCTCTGCATAGCAGGTTCTTCTGCACCTCTCAGGCAGTCCTCCCATTTCCCCCCCTCTGCCATTCTCAAATAAACAAGTGGTAGACCCAGCCCCAAAATAAGTAGATGTGGGGTGAGTCAGCCTCTTAGCAGGGCCCCTGGCTTCCTCTTCCTGCCACAGGATGGACACCTTCTTCCTCCTTACGGTGACCACAGCTTGGCTTGCCCCTCTGTCTTCCTGCCTTGACCTGCAGAGAAGCATCTGGAACCCCAGAGCTTAGAGACAGGCAGCACTTAGCAAGCTCAGAGAAAGAGATTTCCTAGGAACCACAGGCTGCCTGCTTGCCTTTACTGGATTGGGTCTCATCTTTTAATTTCCCATTCTTTCCCCTCTCACCCCACTACCCCCATGGACACTGGTGAATGAGAATGATTTCTTCTTTCATCTTCTCAAACAACATTTATATTTTTAAGGAGTATCTTCTATGAAAAAGAAAGTGTCTGGCTGGGCACAGTAGCTCACATGTATAATCCCAGCACTTTGAGAGACTGAGGCAGGAAGATTGCTTGAGGCTAGGAGTTTCAGACCAGCCTGGGCAACATGACAAGATGCTGCCCATCTCCACCAAAAATAAAGAAATAAATAGAAAATAAAAAAATCAGCCAGATGTGCTGGTGTGTGCCTGTAGTCCCAGTTACTCTGGAGGCCAAGGCAAGAGAATCCCTTGAGCCCAGGAGTTCAAGGCTGCAGTGAACTATGATCATGCCACTGTACTACCTAGCCTGGGTGACAGAAGGAGAACCTGTCTCAAAATAAATAAGTAAATAAAAATAAAAATATTAAATATTTAAAAATATTACAAAAAGGAAGTGTCTTCTGGAGACGTATGCCCAATGACGAATTTTCAGTCATTAAAATTATTTTTGTTTATAGCAGGTCTCGTAAGGACCCTTTAAATAACTCCATGGAGGCCAGGGCCTGCTGGGTCTACATATAAGTAGTGTCTGATATTGATACTTCCCCTGTTTTGTTTTCTTTCTCTTTCTTTCTTTCTCTTTCTTTCTTTCTTTCTTTCTTTCTTTCTTTCTTTCTTTCTTTCTTTCTTTCTTTCCTTCTTTCTTTCTTTCTTTCTTTCTTTCTTTC